CAATCTGTTAAAGGGAAAGTTTATTCAAAGTGGAACAGAGCAGAAAAATACAGATCTTCAACGCTTGTGATTGCAGGCCCACCCGTATAAAACAAAAACTAAACATGCAGTTTGCTATCATCTTTTAATTAGCCGGTATTATTAACTGACTGACTGACTTTTGCCTCTCTAATGTTAGTCTATATAAATTAGCGCTGTTTTTAAGCATTGCTGTGTGTATGTGTGTGTGTGTGTGTGTGTGTGTGTGTGTGTGATGTCAGCTGATGTTGTCAGCCAACATCAGCTGAGTCATCACTTCTATACTTCTATACAACTGACGAATCTCATATAGGCTACGATATTAAGCTGCTTAGCCCTGCCTGGAGACACTGTGCATCTGCAAGTCTCTTTGCAACCCACCCCCAGCGCAGCTCCTTTTACCTTATAACAGTGTTGTATCTGCTGTCATGAATGCCTGCTCTGTACTGCTTGGGTCTTGCTGCAGCATCTCCCTACTCCAGCTTTCTATAGAACTATACTGGCGATATAAATTACTGCTGATACAAATAATCTTTTTAATTAAAGTTGTCCTGACTAAACTACATTAACCATCATGTTAGACCAGATATGTTTCTTAATAGGCAAAATGTACTGAAATAAGGGTTTGCCACTTTTGCAAAAAAACAAAAAGAAAACCTTCATAACAAAAAAGGCAAGGCAATTGCCTAACATTGTGTTTCTTTTTATTTTGCCTTTCCACTCATATTCTCATAATTCTTCACTTATATTTTTGTGAAATTGAAGCAAAAGCACTAAGAAGCAATTTGTTGCTTCACAACCCACCCCTTGAGCCCGAGTACCTTTCCACCTCTCCACTCTCCCTGTAGTGAAATGTGATTAGCTCAATTTACACATATAGCCAACTGCTGGATAACTTTACGTGGAGAAAAAGTACCAGCATCTGAACTGAGAGAAATGAATTTTTGTATTCTGACAGATGACTTTCCTGGGTGCTATGAGCTCAGTTCCCAAATTTTAGTGTAACACCAGATGCCACCCACCAACTGAGGATACATCCTGCCTTTTTTTCCCTGCAGACAACGAGTCTGAGCTTACAGCTAATTAGTGTTTGTGGATGGTATTCCCTGGGAACATGTAATCCTACTCTCACTTGTTCAATGTGCACATTGATAGCAGCAGCATTTTCTTTTCCAGCTGCATCTTCTTTTGGCTTCTGTACATTAAGCTGAAAACATTATCCTCTTACGTTAAAAAATGTAGTGGTCTGCCTTCCTAAGAATTGAACTTTTTCATAAAATGCCAAAAAGTACAATTGCAATATAGAGCCAAAAGATGGCGCCTACTTTCTTTGTGTTATCTTGAGCTAAAGTGGAAAGCTGCACACGGACACTTATTATTTTTAGATTCTTATTATGGTCTGAGTGTAGACCAATCTTTGAACTAAAAAGCTAACCTAGAGCCCATGCTTGGTAAACCAACCACATGCTGCAAATTTTCTTTACCAACACATTAGAGACTGTGCACACTGATTATCTAAAAGCTAATCCACCACCTATTGGCTGCCAATAATCCTTCGTCTGACTATACTCACTGACTTGATGTTTTTTGGCTGTTGTAAAAAAAAAATAATAATAAAATTGTCCTAAATAGGACAAGCTAAAAAATATTCTTTCTTGCATCTCTGCAAATATATTGCCAACTGGCCATTTTGGCCAGCTGGAAATGAAACATATATAAAACATGCACTGATTCATGGGGGAAAATATATGTAACCACTGAATATTGGTGAAATATTGATAGAAATAATATGAAATAAGATGGCATTTATAAATGTGAATGGTATATTAAAATAGTATAAAAGAAGGACGTAGCTTTGGGGTCTGAAAAACCAAGCAATGAAATGCCTTAAATCTGCACCGATGGGTGATACCCATGACTTGCAGGCTTATATAAGACTGTAAACACCTTCCTGAGCCCATGAGTTTATGGGCTCAGTTTTACTTTTCAGGTTATACTCTGTGATATGTTAAAACGACTGGCGTTTCTAATGGTGGACTATGCAAGGTATGCTCATTGGCTGATGACTTGTGACTGATAAATTACTAGGTAAGTTCTTTGTAAGACTTTTTTTTCCACTGTAACAAAATTGCAGATAGGTCAGTGGCAGTCAGTAAGGCAAACATCAGCCAATACTGAAGAATACTGAAGCGAATCTTTACATTCATGAATGTGGAACCAGCCCTCACTTTAGATTTGGGAGGCAGACCTTCTAGATTCGGCTTACGACTTACCTTTTTGATAAAGATTACAGAGTAGGGGTGGATCAGGGGACCCTGAATCCTCCCTCAGTTATACTGCAATAGGCCAAGGCTGCTGGGGGCTTCCCATAATGCACTGAACTGAGCATTTCTTATTCACTCACAATTTTTCCCTCTCCATGTATTTATACATCACTTTGCACTTAATCATAAGTAATTATTTATCTCTGGCTTTCTTCCACATTGTGCCCTCCCCTCAACCCCAACCAGTCACCACACAAGACTGCCCCTCAATCAGACTGGTTCTGCCGGAGGTGTCTCCCTGTTAAAAGGGAGTTTTTCCTTCCCACTGTCACCAAGTACTTGCTTATAGTTGGTGGTTTCATTGTTGGGTTTTCTTTGCATTATTGTCTTTATTGGTCCTTACCTTACAATGTAAAACACCTAGAAGAATGCGTTGTTGTGATTTAGTGCCACATAAATACAACTGAACTGAATTAAATAGTTTTATGTAAGTGTTTATTCATTGTTGATTTTCTTAGGGAAACTATAGCATACAAAATTTTTTTAAAGTATGTGTTGTATATTGTCCACGTGCAAGAAGTTGTGCACTGTGTTCACATGGGTCAGGTTGCTTCATTAACATCTTTTCTCTTTGAAAGTCAAAGAGTTCCTTCTTAGACTCACCTATCATGCATCAATTCACAGTCCTGCAGAAATCACCAGAGAGATGGAGAGGACAATTTCAAAAGCGTGACTGTCATTTATTTTCAGCATCTTTTTCACTGTCTCTATTCAGCCACCCTTGCTATCACTCTATCCAACTGTATAAGCCACAGTTGAATCCAACATCTCAAAGCTGAATATAATTATAGGAATATTTGGGGGCTCATTAGTAACCCTTCTACGTCAGCATTAACGTTAGTGAAAAGGTGCTGTCCCAGGCACTTGAAGAAACTCACTTTGGGCAACAACCTTCTGTTTATTCATTAACTTTACTGTAGCAAATCCTTAAAAGCCTCCAATCTTCACTGTGTTTTCATCACAAAATAAACCCAGGAGAGTGATCAACAGGATTTTTCCATACAGTTTGTGAACGCCAGAAAGGCTTCTCTGTGAGAGTGCTAACAGTGTATCTTCAGGGATACACATAGTTTGTGACAGAAATTGTTGGAAATGTAAAAGAAAAAAAAATCAATCTGCAACAGGCTAAATTGTCAGACTTGCACTCTGCCAAAAAAACAGATTCTCCAGTTCAGGCATCTAGAGCTACACTCTGTCACTGACAACTCTGTCAAGTCAAATTGTTTCCTCACTTTGTTTGTTTTCACTGAATTACACAAGATGGGAATAACATGAACCCTGTGCCTCGGGTATTACAACCATCACCGCCACGAGAGAGAGCACTGTGTGTCAGTTATTTACAGACAGTGGGCTTTAACTCAAGTCAGGACACCGTCTAGCTGTCTGCTCCTTTTTGATGTTTTACTGGCTGTAAACCCTGCAGCTCACTCCAACAATCCAGGCAATTGGTGCATGCTGTTCGGCTCCTCTGTGTCAGGCGACAGCACCTTCTTTTAAACTACAACTTAATTTCCTTCCAGAAGGGTACCTTTCTGCCCTCTTGAGCACATACTGCAAGGTAATAAGGCGACATATAAACATCCCATCAACAGGATGCACAACAACACAATATTCCCATGAGAAATGTCCCATATCAGAGCAAAGAGAATATATGTGGGTTTACAGTTCAGGTTACCTTTCTGGTATGTGGAGCAGAGGTTTTCAAACGACAGGCTTTCTGTCACATGTGTGATTTGATCAGACTTGTCCATCTCATGCTATGGAAAAACACTAGGAAAGGATGTAAGTGGGATTTTTCTTTTTTTTCTTTTTTTTTGGGGGGGGGGGTAGACCTCCAGAATGTCAACAAACCCCAGTGGCTGCCACTGCTGCTCCTGTCTGATGTCTGACAGACTACCCCAGCACCACTCCTGGTATGGGTCTGACAGCATTTCTCTGACAGAAATACGTGTAAGGATTTGCACATTAACAGCAAACATGTCCCATCAAACTTGCACGTTTGCAAACCCGCATTAGCACACTCTCATCACCCTTCACCAGTCATGAAATCTCTCACCACCACACAGCTTAGTGAAAACCACTGACATACCCTCCGGTCCAGGTTGAAAATCCTTCACATAAAACATAGGAAAGACTGTCCGTGCACTTTCTACGCCACTGCTTAACAGCAAGGCTAAATGAGAGGTGTTTTTCCCCCCTGATACAAAGCCGAACAACCTAAAATATCCTCAGGCAACGGGGTGCAAACGGAGAGTGTTTTGGGTTATTTTTAGCTCGCTCGTGGGGTAAATCAGACATTTTTCACGGGATCGTTTGAGGCTTGACGTGCATTGACTGGCTGTTATTTCGTTCACGGTGACTAAAATGTTCCCAAATTTTAGCGATGAGTGCAAACAACCTGTGGCACATACCTAGATGTTGAGAAGCGGGGAAAGCATGGGAGTCGTATTGGTTCAAAAGCTGCGAGAGTGAATTGTCATTATTGACAGATAAAACATAAATAAATGTCAACAAACACATACACGAGTTAGGTGACAGGGCTAGCATAAGGGATTTCCAGCTTGTTCGAGCACTAAGTTAGCAGCCTGCAGCCGTTCGGTAAATCCCTCAACACGCCAAGCAGCCAGTCAGGGTAACGGTTCATCATTTCGCACTTACCCCGCTTGTGAACGTCAGATTAGTCCTCGCACACAACTTCGGACGGTGTCTGGCTTCTACCGACGCTGTTGCATTACAGAAGGTGAGATGAACGGTGCGGGATGCGTTGTTATTGTATTTTTCTCCCCCTCAGAGTCTAACTGTTAGCTGTCCAACTGACCGAGGCTGCTTCTCCTGTCACTCACTGTGCCGAGCCGGCTGTCCGCTCCGCCGCCATCTTGGTTGTGATGGGAATCCGCCAACACACGCACGCACACACGCGCGCGCGCTTCTGTCACTTCAGAGGACGTTTAAGTGACTTGCAGTCATTCCCGGGAGACCCACGATAAGAGACTGACCACAGGTGGACTGAGGACTTTACTGCTATGTGAAAAACATTCTCATCACATTGTAAAAACAGAATATTTTAAAATTAATTAAAGTCCTCTGTGGAATAGGTTACCTTTAATAATAATAATAATAATAATAATAATAATAATAATAGAAAAATTATTACAAAACAATAGAATAAAATAGTTCCTTTATTGTTATTGTGGTTGCTCCACACCAACTGTGCAGGAATAAGATATAAATAGTAAGACAGCAGGAATAAATGACTAATAGGAGAAATATATGCAATCAAGGGGGCTATATAGAAACTAGATGAATATATACAAAACAAGAGAAAGGCACTCACAATAACAGTAATATTAACGATAATAATACAAGTATTAAAAGAAACATTACTAAAAACTGCTTTTTAAAACTTAATTCAGAATCTAATCAATAAATTAGATTAGTTTAAAATCTCAAAATTCAATTAAAGTTTATTTATCTGGGACCAAATCCAAGCAGCAATTGCCTCGAGGTGCTGTATAGTGAAAAGTAAAGAGCAAACAATAGGTGACAGTGGAAAGGGAAAAACTCCCTTTTAAGAGGAAGAGATCTCAGGTAGAACCAAGCTCAAGCTGTCCAAGCTTTCTGACCACCATTACTGGTGGTCTTGTGCAAGGTAGTGGATAAACTAGAGTGAAGTGGTGGTAAAGAGCAGCTAACAGGATAATAAAGGCTGCAAATCCAGTTATACACAAGACTTTGGGAAAAGATAAATCTATGATGCAAATTGATAATTTCAAGTATCATTGAATCCAATATAATGCTCATTTTATAAATGGTAGCCACCACTAGAGAAATGAAGGTAGTTAAAGGTATTCTTAATGGCTGGCCTACTATGTGAGTGACAAGTCAGTTTTAACAGCTTTGCAGTTTTAAAACATGCTAGTGGCATCACAGTGGTGTAATGGAGTGATGTTTATAATTTGTAAACATTACCATGTGTACAAAATGCACTTTTACAGCATAAGATAGGATTTCATGCAGTGTGGGCTGGTTCTTGGTTGTCTTGTCATAGCAGAGTGGTTTTTTAATGATCAGTCTAAAGATATTTGTTGCTAACGCTAATGTTTCTTACACTGTAGTTTGAATAATTATTTCCTAAGGAATTGGATCAATGCATACATTTAGATTTGAGTATGAATGAATAAAGCCATGCTGCTGCTGCATATTGTGTAGGCCCACTGCCCTTTGTGAGTTTACTCACTGAGGAGGCATTTAAGATAAAGTATTATAAAAAAAAATATTGTCAGCAGTGCATTTTGTTAGGGGGTATGGGATAGATCAACTTGAGAAGTGTATAACTTAGTGACGCTATCTGTGTCCATGGAAATATAATAAAACAGGACATGGCCCAGCTGCAAAGTGACATTTAGCTGTGTTAAGGGGCTGAATTTGAATTTATAATGACATTTTTCACAATGACTTAAAACTATATTGGGCTCAGTGTGCTAAGTTTCTGACATTTTTTTAATGAGAAATAAAATCCAGCTTTGCATGTATGTTTCTTCATTGTAAAAATTCTTTCATATTGTAAATGCTGAAATAACTACCTGTTACTACAAGCAAACAGTGTTGAAAGCGCTGCTAAAACCAATAGTACGCTTTTAAAGATTACATTTTGTCACAACCACCAAACTATCCAGGGCTAGATCTGAAATGGATAAGAAGCTAAAGAAGGAAAATGCATGTGAAATATTTTTCTACCTGATACAGTAACAGTGATTAATGAATGTCAGAGAGATCATTAGTGAAGAGGAGACTGCAGTTTCATCTCCAAGCAGCAAAAGTATGATGCTGGACGTCATCCAAAAACAAGCTTTGTGACTTTTGAAGCAGTGCCATGTGGGAAATGTATTTATGTACCTCTTGTTGATGGGGCCTGTATTTCAGTATGCACTGTGGCAAGTAAAAAAAGTTAGTGTTCAAGATGTGCAGTGCAGGCTTTTGAAATGAAATTCTAAAATAGCTGCAAAACAGAATAAAAATGAAGGAAAACACATAGTTTCTTTATGAAGTATTGGTCATATATGATGCACTTAGGTAACAAAGGTCAATACAAATGTCAGAGCATGACTTAACACAAACCCGAAATCTCTGCATGCAACACAACCACCTACAATGTAACAACATAATCTCAAAATAAAGAGATTAGAATTCATTCATTCTAATGTAAGTGAGAGCTGAGATTAAAAACAAGAGATCAAAAGAGGAGTTTACAATAAACAACACTGAGAAAAGTGTTTCACAGTTGTAATGGTTATACATAGTTATATAAGAAAGCCCAGCTTTTCCAGAATGTTTTGTCATTTTCAAATTCTACAAAATATATTTAAAATAATGTGACTCATTAGAACATTAGGACTCGTCAGGTTTTTATTTCTTAGTTAAAACAGGACATGAAATTGTGCGATAGTATGTTGATGCTCCAAAAGCAAGTGTTATTAGACAATACCTGCACTACACCGTATGTCAGCATTAAATAAATTGAAAGATTACAAATTAGTTTTTCCAAGATACAAAATGAAATTTAACAACAAAAGCAGAACAAATATTGTAAGACACTAGAAAATTGGAAAAGACGGGAATTATAATCTTATTTGACATGTTTATGATTTAATACCTTAATATTTTCTTAGCACAATTACTCACAGATTCGATATTCAGTATTGTTTGGAGTCAATGAATTTTCAATGGTGACCAAATAGCCAGCCAACCTCACCAGAGAAATGACTGTGTTGATCAGCTGTTTTATGCTGTTGATCAGAATGATGTAAATGAAGGCGGCAACTTTCAGCAATGCTAATAAATTAACTTTTACAGAAAAACTGTGTCTCATTTGATATAGTTTTATATGGGGCAGGACTTCATCTTGTTAATCAAGACAATAAGAGAAGTCTGACACATATATTATTGTGGCGTGAATAAGGCACGGCGGGACCACGGAGCAACGTTCAGAGCCAACTTTATTTAATTGACATCACACCACACACACACCAACCCCTGAGTCCCCGTGTTTTAACACGGCGGGCGTGATTGCGGATGCCGTGCAGGTGCGTCCGCACGGCACCGCAAACCACGCCCCACCACAATTATTCTCATTTTTTTTCAAAGGTCAAACATTGAACAGCAATCCCAGCCTCCATGGTGATTAGCACTTCTGCCTTTTCACCATCGTACTACTGTCAGCCTTCTCTAAAGGTGCTACATCAGCAAATTTGGTATTTTCTATGCTGTTTCAGCAAACACTCATGGATGTTTTTCTGAGACTTATCTTGAGTTTACCTGTTCTTTATCTGTTGTTTAGATATGAGCAATGCTTGAGACTTTGTAATACAAAGTAACTGCAGGTAGTTGGGTGCTGTCTGATAATTGTGTTTGTCAGCCTTAGAGGGAAAACCCAAGTTGACTCAGAAAGTATTTGTTTCATACGTATTTGTTAAATATGTAAACATAGGGCTGAATTAAGTCAAAGCAGCAAACTGTAGAATTTTTACTTGCTGAATCAGGGACATTGAAAATATTACATTAAAAACAGGCATTTATGGTCTGCTGGAACCAAAATCTGTGCTTAGGTTTCTCCATGCCCAATTTGAACAGAATTTGAAGTGCTGCTGGCTTCAGTAAACCTTAATATAGCATCTATTGCTTTATATAGCATAGTGAGCTCTTTGTGGTCCTTCCTTGGGTCTGTTATATGATGTTTTGAAGATACCCAATGTAGATAGATTACAGTAAGACTGTAAATTTGCTAGCATGCAATGATATATTTTCTCTTTTGTTGAGATAGTCACAGAGGTTATCCCCCAGTGCATGCTGGGACTGTATTATCCCCCATGGGTTCAAATGAAACACTGGAAATGTAAAACTAATGAATGAATGGGGCAAGCTGACACTTTCTTTAAACAGCCTCAAATTTCTAATTAGTTTTCAATTGTTTCATTGATTGTAAGGGACACTTCACTTACATGTCTTTTGCCAGCGCCTAACATTTTCAGAATCAGTCCAGTTTCAACTTTACTTTGTGTTGAAGGGCAGGATATATGATGGAACTGGCTGAAACAGCTTGGCTGTGAGTAGGTGTGAGGTTTGCTCAGCATCAGTGTGGGTGGAGAGCTGGCAGTAAGTATTCCCACACATGCATGCAGAGTCATAAATTCCTTAAATATACATTTTAGTTTTTGTTGTCAGAAGTTAAATGTACTAAAAGAGCTATTATGAATATCTGAATGCAGATGTGTTTCTGGTTGTTTAGACAATGCAAGTCCTTTAGTAATATGTACATGATTGTCTAACTGTAAAATTAACTGGAGCTTTACTTATCTTTACTACCAAACGCCTGACGTCTTCTTCCAGACTCTTACTAGCTGATGGTTAGAGTTGATTTACACAAAAGGAACATATTAAATTAATTTAAAACAAAAGCAAAGGGAACCCATGCTTTTTTGTGAGAAATATACTGTTACAGTGGTGGATTTTCATATTAAGCATAATAAAGTCAGTACAGTAATCCATGAAAACCAAATGCTTCAGACTGCTCTACAGCTCCGTTTTAGCTCCATACAATGTCATTAAGCAGACATCCCTAATAGGGTGTGTTCAGGCACACAACCATATTTCCAAAAGTATTTGCTTGTCTGCTTTCACACAGATAGAACTTGGGTGACAACTCTTTCTTAATCCATAGGGCTAAGTATGAAGTTGGGCTACCCAGCTACAGCTGTGAAAGCTTCAACTCTTCTGTGAAGGTTTTCCACAAGGTTTAGGGGTGTTTGTGGGATTTTTTTGTCATTCTACCAGAAGCACATTTGTGAGGTCAGAAACTGATGTTGGACGAGAAGAATATATTTAGCAGAATATAAGGAAATGACTAGGTGCAAACAAATTTAA